TATATATATATATATATATATATATATATATTATATGTTGAATATTTTATTTTGTTTTGTCATTTTAATTATGAAAATAATTAATTTGACATAAACTATTTAAAGTATATTTGTATACTTGTTTAAAAATGATATTGGTATTTTTATTTGATTTAAAATTAATTGTATATTAATTTTTGGTGTCAAATAAAATACACTTTGAACATTTAAGTGGAGAAGAATTTCAAATATCCTTCTCATATAATCATTTCGGCCATAGTGATATAAAGGATCCAAAATCAATCTTTGACATAGTTTATTAGTTTTTATCCTTTAGCTAAATGACAAAGTTTTATAAATCACTTTGTAATCTTTTGTTGATTACACGGCACATTGAATTTAAAGTGGGAATGTGAAGATTATCATTTTAAAGAGAGCATGCACTTGTGTATTGTGTGATAATTTTTTTCTAGTGAGAGAAAATTACTTTTATGTTCTATTAATATCATTTTGTGTATAGAAAATATCTACAATATTTTCTAAATATTATTAGAAATATTTTCTATAGAAATATACAAGATTATTATTATCCCAATTTTAATTTTTATATTTTATACTACTATAATCTTTACTAGCATAAAGATTGTGGTAGACTCCGGCGTTGTTCGTGTGTCAAAGTTGGAGACCGGACGCTTGAACGGTTACGTTTGCACTTTCAACGCTCTTCCTACGACTTCTTTCTTTTTACCACTTACGGAGAAAGGTATAAATTTCTTACTCACTATAAGTTTTAGTACGTGATTCTGGGCAAGATAATCATGTTAGGATGTTAACATTTTTATATTCTGCTGCCTATCCTTGCATGGTTACCTTTCAGAGGTTTCCTCAGCTGGTTACTTCTCCTTCAACTCATCCGGATTGACATATCCAGATGTTGAGGGAGAGGTGATTTTCCTCTTCTTCGTTCTTTGGAGTTCTCCTTGGACAGAGACTTCTTCTGCTTCTTCAAGATTCACTGGAACATGGTTCTGTGGTGCTTCTACACTGAGAGAGGAAGACATCACTTACTTCCTTTTGGCAGTCTTCGTCAGATTGATGAATGGGACATTATCTGATGAGCTTTCCTCTGCAGTAGCACTAGCACCAGATCTGTTTTCCCCTTTTGAAGACAGATAGTATAACCAATATCTTTCTTCATACTTCTTTCCTTTAGAAGCAGCTCCTATAGACTCCAAAATATGTCGAATGTATAGACCTTGACAAAGATATTTCTGATTGTGCTTTCCCAGATGTTTTGAGATGAATTTGAAGAAGTGTGCAGCCCAATTTACCTTAGATTTGGTAATGAGAGCGTTGATGATGAAGGCTCTCTCCTGCGTGATGTCGTCAGCATGACCTCCACTTCCACACTCGAGGCAAACGATGACCAGTTCCAACACTAATTTGTAGTCGTTGTTCAAATCTGCTTTCTTCACTTGGCCAGAAGGAGCTTGTCCAGAAATTCCAATGATGTTCCAGTCCAGATATTTAACTGGAAATCTCTCAATTTCAAGTCCAGAATTGGGAAGGTGAAGCTTTTCTCCCAAATTCTTCTGCGAAAGCTTCACTTTTCTCCCTCCAACAGTGGATTTGATGACTTGAAACGTCCTCTGTGGGTCCTTCTTTGAATGAGTAGTCTTGACCTCTCCATTTTTGTAGAATTCAAGAACTTCTTCTTCAAATTTGAGGCGAATCTCCATTTGAAGAAATTCGGAGAGTTCTTGAGCGGCTATCATCTCCAGATAGCTTTGATAGAATGCCGGTGAGGAGCATTTGGCTTCCAACTTCTGGAAATGAACATTTGCGCCGACAACCTTCATTTTCTCAGAAATTTGAGTGAGATTCTAAAAGAAAAAATCTTAGGGTTCTTGAGTGTTTCTCGCGAAGAAGACGACGAAGAACTTTGAGTGGGCGGTTGAAATCTGAATAGTGGCGATTGGGTTTTTGACTATTCCCAAGGCCACGTGCCCACCCATCATTTTGACAGACGTGGAAAGTGAACTGCCACGTGTACCGCACTTAGTCTAATTGAATTAGACCAATTCCGTGAAGCAAATCGGAAAACTTGGCTTCACTTAGTGGTTTTGTGAAGATATCCGCCAGTTGTTCTTTAGTTGAGATATACTCAATTTTGATATCTTTCTTTTCCACGTGATCTCTGATGAAGTGATTCTTGACATCAATGTGCTTAGTGCGAGAATGATGCACTGGATTTTGTGAGATGGCTATAGCACTTTGATTGTCACAAAAGATTGTCACTTCCTTTGTCTTGACTCCATAGTCCAGTAGTTGTTGCTTCAGCCACAGAATTTGAGCACAACAACTACCAGCAGCAATCTACTCTGCTTCTGCTGTTGATGTAGAAATGGAGTTTTGTTTCGTACTGAACCAAGAAACAAGATTTCCACCAATGAATTGACAAGTACCAGATGTACTTTTCCGGTCAACTTTGCATCCGGCAAAGTCAGAATCTAAGTATCCCAGTAACTCAAATGAATTGCTCTTAGCATACCACAAAACCATGTTCTGAGTTCCTTTGAGGTATCTAAGAATTCTTTTAGCTGCTATCAGATGACTTTCCTTTGGCTTTGACTGGAATCTGGCACAAACACCTACTGCATATGAGATATCCGGACGGCTTGCAGTAAGGTAGAGTAGAGATCCAACAACTCCTCTGTAGAGAGTTTGATCTACATCCTTTCCATCTTCATCCATATCCGGACGGCTTGCACCATGACTTCTGGTCAACTTTGAATTTCTTGATAAGATCCCTTGTGTACTTGGCTTGGTTGATGAGAGTCCCTTCACTTCTCTGTTTGATTTGAAGGCCAAGGAAGTAGTTGAGTTCCCCCATCATGCTCATCTCAAATTTTCCTTGCATGAGGGTTGAGAACTTGGTGCAGAGATCTTCCTTAGTTGAGCCAAATATGATGTCGTCCACATAGATTTGGACTAATAGGAGATCTTCTCCGTCTTGTAGTTTGAACAATGTCTTGTCAATGACTCNATGACTTCTGGTCAACTTTGAATTTCTTGATAAGATCCCTTGTGTACTTGGCTTGGTTGATGAGAGTCCCTTCACTTCTCTGTTTGATTTGAAGGCCAAGGAAGTAGTTGAGTTCCCCCATCATGCTCATCTCAAATTTTCCTTGCATGAGGGTTGAGAACTTGGTGCAGAGATCTTCCTTAGTTGAGCCAAATATGATGTCGTCCACATAGATTTGGACTAATAGGAGATCTTCTCCGTCTTGTAGTTTGAACAATGTCTTGTCAATGACTCTTTTGGTAAATCCATTGTCCATAAGAAATTGAGACAATGTATCATACCAAGCTCTCGGAGCTTGTTTGAGTCCATACAGTGCCTTTTTGAGTCTATACACTTGATCTCCCTTAGTGTGTAACTCAAATCCTGGAGGTTGTTCCACATAAACTTCTTCCTCGAGGTTTCCGTTGAGAAATGCGCTTTTGACATCCATTTGACAGACTTTGAAGTCCTTATGAGCAGCAAAGCCCAGAAACAGCCTTATAGCTTCAAGTCTAGCAACTGGAGTGAAGGTTTCATCAAAATCTATACCTTCTTCTTGACAATATCCTTTGGAAACCAACCGGGCTTTGTTTCTGATAACAACGTCGTTTTCATCCATCCACTTTGTCCCAATGACATGTTGATGAGTAGGTCTAGGAACAAGTTTCCAGACGTCATTTCTGGGAAATTAGTTGAGTTCTTCTTGCATTGCATTGATCCAATCAGAATCAGCTAGAGCTTCTTCAATATTCTTTGGTTCCACTTGTGAGATGAAACAAGCAAGCATAGCTTCTAGATTCTGCTGAGCACTTCTTGTGCGAACGCCAGATTGAATATCTCCAATGAGTTGTTGGGGAGGATGATCCCTTAACCAACAAAGATTATGTTGATTAGGGTTGACAGGTTGATCTAGTTCAGCTTCTGGTTGAAGAACAAAACTTGTTGGTGTTTCCGGATGGATTGGCACTGGGTCGCCATTTCCGGAATTGTCGCCGTTTGAGTGATCCCGAATATTGGAAGACTGGCCAAGATTTCCGGTAGGCTCAGCATTGTTTGAATCCGGATTTCTCTGTGAAGTCTTCAGTGGTAGACTTCTGAGTGGAATGAACTCCGTAGGCTTCATTCTATCTCCTTCATTGACTTCTTCATCCTTGTCAGATAGATCCAGAACCTAATGATCATGCTTTGATGGCTTGTCAACCACATGTTTTTCATCAAAAATAACATGTATTGACTCTTTAGTGATCATGGTTCTTTTGTTGAAGACTCTGAATGCCTTGCTCACCGTAGAGTATCCAAGGAAGATGGCCTCATCTGATTTCTCATCAAAAGTGTTCAGATGATTCTTCCCGTTGTTTAACACAAAGCACTTGCTCCCAAAAATATGGAAATATGATATATTAGGCTTTCTCCCGTTCCATAGTTCATAAGGAGTTTTGTTGTGCCTTTTATAAATCATACTCCTATTTTGAGTATAGCAAGCCGTGTTAACAGCTTCAGCCCAGAACCTCTTTGGTAAGGAAGCTTCTGCTAGCATTGTTCTCACTGCTTCCTTCATGGTTCTGTTCCTTCTTTCAGCTACACCATTCTGTTGAATGCGTCCTTGCTGCGGATGTCTGATGAAGAATTCCGTTTTCTTCACAATAATGAATGATGCTTTCATTCAGGAATTCTGTGCCTTTGTCAGATCTGATCTTCTGAATGGTCTGACTTGCTTGGTTTTGAATCAGCTTCATGCAGTTGGTGAGTTTCCCTTGAGTCTCCTTCTTGATGTTGAGGAAGATTGTCCACGTGTATCTTGAGTAATCATCAACTACCACCAGAATATATTTCTTTCCACTTAGACTTATTGGTGTAACAGGGCAAAATAAGCCCATGTGAATAAGACTTAATATCCTTGTAGTTGAGGGTGCCGGTTTTGCCTTGAAAGTAGATTTGACTTACTTTCCTTTCTAGCAAGCATCACAAATGCTTTCCTTCCTGAATACAGTTTTGGAAAGACCTTCTACTAACCCTTCTATGGATAGCTTGTTGAGAGTTTTGAAGTTGAGATAACTCAACCTCTTATTCCAAAGCCATAGAAGGTTAGTGTCACCTTTGGTGATTAGACATACTTCCTTGACATCGTTCCATATCACTTCATAGATTTTTCTGATTCTCTTCCCAGTGAGAATGACTTCATTTGTGGAGATGTTCTTGAGAGATTCCATGTCCTTGCAGAATTCCAAGGAGTAACCTTTATCACAAAACTGACTTATGCTAAGAAGGTTATAATTGAATCCTTCAACATAAGATACAACTTGGATGGTTAGTTCCTTGTACACCAGATTTCCTAGCCCTTTAGTAAGGCCAAAATCATTGCTTCCTCCAAAAGTAACTCTTGGACCATCATAGGGAATTAGATTGCTCAAAATGCTCGCATCACCCGTCATGTGTCTTGAACAGCCACTGTCTAAGTACCAGACACCTGGGTACTTAGCGGCTTCCTGCATTAGGAGAAGGAAGATTTTGGTACCCAATTCAGTTTGGGTCCGGAATAGTTAATGGTGTGTGTCCCTACATCAAGTTTGAAGTTGCAGGGAATTTTCCTTGCAGCTCTAAACTTGTTGGGATTGTAATCATAGTTGTAGGCATAAAACTTCCTACGTGCAGGAGGTGCAATTTCCTGTTTCCTCTTAGAAAACCTAGGTTGGTAAGACCTATAGTTTTGTCTAGGTTGTGCATAGTGTGACCAGTGTCGGTTATAAGCATACTTAGGTGGCACAAATAGTTTTTGGGGTGGAGGATGACTATATCTTGGCATAGTTCTCCACTCAGAATTTCTCGGAAAACTCCTGTCTACCCCATAATGAGTGTAGCCTCGTGTATATTGGGGATTAGAAGATTTTCTTCTAAAATTGTTTCCTTTTTGAGGTCTGTCCACCTTCCTATAGTTCTTAGGAGGGACTACCTTTTTGGGAACTCCTGTTGGTTTCTCCTTTTCCTTCCCTTTCTGCTTATTTGGTTTGGCAGTAGGTTTAAGAGGGATGAAAGTTGTTTTCCCTTTCCTTTTGGAACTAGAGGGGTCAAACCCAAGTCCTTCACGACCCTTATGTTTGGTCGTTTCAAGAAGCTTGTTCACTGCTTCTTTGGACTTAAATATCCCTAGCTCTTTTTTAAGGGATTTCACCTTTTCAGAGAGAGATTCATTTTCAGTCTTGAGTTGAGTGATCTCATTCAGTTGACTTTTCCGACTTTCAGTCAACTTGATAGATTCTCTTCACTCAATAGTTTGTTCTCTTCTGTTAAGGATGAGTGTTTGAGATTTATCTCCTCAAAATCTTCCATCATCTTTTTGAACTGGTCAAAAAGATTTTCAGAAGTTGGTATGCTATAAGAAGATGAGCAGGAGGTTTGTGAGGTTACCTCTTGATCAACATCATCTTTAACCATTGGGCAGAGAGTGTCATCTTCTGACATAGTCCACCTATCCTCATGGTTGGACTTCTCAACTCTACGCTCCATGCAGACGAGGGGTTCTTCATCTGAGCTTGAGCTGGATGACTCGTCACTTTCAGTAGCCACCATTGCCTTCTTTTTCTTCTCGTTCCTTTCTCTTTCTCCGTACTTCTCCACCTTTGGGTACGGGCATGCTGACTTCCAGTGATTAGGCTTCTTGCAGTTATAGCATAAATAAGATTCAGGAGGGAAATCACTTACTTGTGGCTTTCCCTTGGATGGCCTTCTGACTGAATCAGCCTTCTTGAAGAAGTTCTTGAACTTACGGAATTGCTTGACCATCATGGCAAATTCCTCATCGTAGTTCTCCATTTTTGAGCTTGACGGCTGGCTGGAGGAAGGTGTGTCACAGTTTCTTGTGCATGTCCCTTCACTTGATGGGATTCTTGGAGTTGTCATCAATGCCGTGGGGAAGGGAGTGACTTGTTCTTCCTTCTTCTTCTTCAGCTCGTGCTCATAGGTTCTGAGTTCATCAAGGAGACCTTGAACAGTGTAGTTCTCCAGGCTTCTTCCTTCTTCCATGGCTGTGGCTTTGGTGTACCACTCAGTTGNATTCCTCATCGTAGTTCTCCATTTTTGAGCTTGACGGCTGGCTGGAGGAAGGTGTGTCACAGTTTCTTGTGCATGTCCCTTCACTTGATGGGATTCTTGGAGTTGTCATCAATGCCGTGGGGAAGGGAGTGACTTGTTCTTCCTTCTTCTTCTTCAGCTCGTGCTCATAGGTTCTGAGTTCATCAAGGAGACCTTGAACAGTGTAGTTCTCCAGGCTTCTTCCTTCTTCCATGGCTGTGGCTTTGGTGTACCACTCAGTTGAGAGTGATCTCAGCAATCTTACATTCTTTTCTTTGGGAGAAAGAATGTGGTTAAGTGAAGCAAGATCATTCAATATCTTGTGGAATCTTTCATCCAACATATCAAATGATTCTCTGTGAAGCATTTTGAAGCTTTTGAACTTCACAAGCAGGACTTCTATCTTCTGCTTTCTCAGGTCTTCTGATCCCTCACATAGCTTCCCAAGACCTTGAAAAATCTCCATGGCAGTCTTGAGATGCTTAATCTTGGAGAAGGTGATGGGATCAAGTGTCTTGAAGATGGCTGTTTTGGCGACGTTGTCCAGATTGTGCTTTTTGCAATTTCTATCATCCCATTTTTCCTTGGGCTTTGGAATGTACTGGACTACATCTGGAGCAGCTGGATTCCTCTCTGGGTTCTCCATTTGGATTTTCAAGGGTCCATCCTCAAGCACCATCCACATGAAATCATGTAGAGCGTAGAGATGTGCTTCCATCATGATCTTCCAATCATCATAACCTAGAAGAGAAAACATGGGCAAACTGTGATCCATATTATTCACCATTATGATCGCTTCTCGTTAATCTAAACGTAGATAGTGAGAAGTTACCTTCGATACCAATTGGTGGTCCCAAAGTGGTGAGATACAAAGTCTAGAGGAGAGGGGTTGAATAGACTTTGTTACAAATTTAAAACTTTTTCGTTTCTTTTGAAAACGTGAAAATGAGTGTTAATCTAGAATTCTTGTGAACTTTAGATTGCGTGCGGAATTTGGTGGGTAAAGTGAGCAGTAATCAATATGGATGGGTTAGTTTTCACAGTTAATATAATTGCAAGTAAGAATAAAGATAAAAGAGAGAGACACGCAAACTTTAACGAGGTTCGAAGGTGGGGTAATCCTTCTACGTCCTCAAATTTCACTATGTAGTTGGTTGTTGAATAATGAACCAACAATTACACTTGTGTGAATTTCTGCACGGTATATCTTTGCAAGGCCAATGTTGCTACTGCACTCGTGCTGGCTTTGTTGTTCCTTCGAAGGTCACGCTTCTTCAACAACTGCAAGGTCCGAACAATAGGACTTGCAAGACCTACTTGTAAGAAAGTTGACCTACCCCCTTTCAATTAATAAGTTTGATCAAAAGTTGTATCCTTCAACGTGGTGTGGTACTTGAGGCAAGGAAACCTTCAAGTGTTTACACTATAGCTTTTTGGAAGGAGGAGAAGTTTGCTTCTGGATAAGGAGTTTAGAAATCTCTTTTTATCAAGCTTATTGGGCTAACTGTGAATGAGGTAGCTTTGTTGTGGTTGTTTATCTTATCGTTGTCGTAGTATCTTTTCCAGTCTTCCAAGGATGCTATTTATAGCTGGATTGGATAATCTATCCGTTGAATCAAAATAGACTATCCGTTGCATTTGCTGGCTTCAATTTTGAATGAAGATTGTGATTTGAAGATTCCTCATTGGAATGAGTGTTTGGACATACCCAATTGTTTAAGGAGGGATTCCTTTTTCCACAGAATCTGTCTTCTAGCTGTTGTTCAAGAATTCTGAACTGTAGCACTTTACTCTATTTGTCTTCCAGTGCTTGTTTAGGAATTCTGGACAAGCTCTTCAATTTTTAGAGGTCCAGACTTTGTCTTCGATTCATTTGTTCTTGAATTAGCATAATTATCTTCAATCTAGCCGTTGAAAATCAAGAGATTGATTTTTCCTTACCAACGGGTAGAATTTCTTCATTCAAGACTTAGATAATTTTCTAAGTCTTTTCTCACTTGTCCGTTTTTTGAGAGTTCCGGTCTTTCTTGAGGCATCCGGTTCTTAGTTGACAAATCCGGAAGAGTCATACTCAGTCTTCCGGGTGAGAAAGAAATCCGCGCTAGTCTTCCGACTTAGCCTTCAGCGGGTTGTAGCGAGACATCCGGTTCTTATGTAGTCTTCCGGATTGGAGGATTTTCGTCTGCTTTGAGAAATCCTTACTTGTCTCTGACATTTCCGATCAAGATATCCAATTTCCAAATTACTAAATTTGATTAAGTCTTCAGGCATCAAACCGCTTAAAGAAATATCACAACTTTATTGGAAATCTCAAGAACTTGGTTTTAACAATATTTCTAAAAAGAAAAATTACATTGAATATTTGGGGAGACCTAAAGTCCCTATTACATTCTAAATACATCATCATCAAAATCTATGATATTTTTCCCAACAGTTGACTTTCCAAAGAAAGATCTGAATTTTAGGTAGCTGCAATTTGTTCCAGTTAAATTTATCACTTATTTGCAGAGTTGAGTGGTTTCTGTTGTGATTATAGGCTTCCTTAATGGAGATGGGGATGACCTATATTTCATCTTCATCTTCTCTGTAAGGTGTGATGTCTCCCATGAATTCTTCAGCTGAGTCGTTAATTCTGCAAATCCTTTTTCTGATGGGAGAATCAGTTAGTTTCTCAGAGAAGTTCTGAGTACTGTATTTTGCTCTCATGAATTGGGCACAATTGTTGTTGTTGAATCTGAAGTTCCACCAAAGTTTGATAGAGTAGGCAAACTGCAGCTCCTCTAAGTCTCTGATTCCCAGTCCTCCTTCTTCCTTGGGTAGGCAAATGTTCTCCCATTTTGTCCAGTGGTATCTCTTTTTGTTATTGGTGTGTCCCCAAAAGAAAGTTGTCATCATCTGTTGAAGCTTGTTTATAACTGATTTGGGTAAAGAGTGGACTGCCATGTAGTGGAGAGGAATGGTACACAAGACATGTTTAATAAGAATTAATCTCCCCATCTGACTGAGGGTCTTGCTGTACCATTTCTCAATGTAGTTGCTAAAGTGAGTGATTAGATCTCCACAGTCCCCTTTCTTAAGCATCCCTTTACATATTGGGGTCCCCAAGTACTTGAAACGTAGTGTGCCTTTTTTCATGCCCAGAATTCTTTCCATCTGAAGGGTTGTATATGTGTTAACTCCTTTACCACAATAAAATCTGCTCTTATTATAATTAATCTCTTGGCCTGATGCTTCTTGGTATTTCTTGAGGATCTCCTTTACTTTGATCAGGTTGTTGCTTTGACTATTACAAAAAATGATAACATCAACTGCATATGCCAAATGGCTGATCAGTTTCCCTCCTCCAGTGTTGAAGTTTGTAATATAACCTGTGGACATATAGAATTTTAGAGCCCTAGACAGACCTTCACTTGCTATGATAAATAGCAGAGGAGAGAGGGGGTCCCCTTGCTTGACCCCTCTTTTCATTTTGAAGAATCCTCTTGGACTGCCATTAATCAGTAGAGATAAGTATGTAGAGTTAATATTTGCCATTAAAAGGTGTTGTGCTTGAGAAGAGAAGCCCACTTTGCCTAGAACTCCTTGAATGTATTGCCACTCCAGTTTATCAAATGCCTTAGCCATATCAATCTTTAGGATAACATTATCCCCTCTAACCTTGTAATCTAGCTTGTGGACCATTTCCTCCACCAAAAGAATCTGTTCATCCACTCCCATTCCTTTTTGAAACCCAGTCTGTTCAGGGGAGATCATTTTGGAAAGCAGAAGATGGATTCTGTCAGCAAGAATTCTAGTGTTGATCTTGCTCATAAAAGTGGATAAGGAGATGGGTCTGTAGTCATTGAATGTCTTGGGGTTATCTGTTTTAGGAATAAGACTTAAGAAGGTACTCCCATAACATTTAGGCACAAGAATCCCAATGAAAAATTTCTGAGTAGCACTGATGACATCCTTTTTTATTGTGTTCCATTAGATTCTAAAGAAGCATCCATTGAAGCCATCTGGACTGGGGGCACTCCCAGGGTTGAGAGACCAAACGGCCTCTCTAATCTCATCTTCCAGAGGTAATTTGCAGATATTCTCATCATCTGTCTGTGTTACCAAATTCTCCAGGAATTCTAATATGGGCTCCATATTAATATGATTGCTAGAGCTAAAGAGATTTGAAAAATGTTCAATAGCTAACTCCTTTATAGGGTCCATGTCATTGACACTCCTGCCATCACTATCTTGGATAGTTCTAATCTTGGATTTTGATCTCTTGTCTTTGACATAACCATGAAAGAATTTTGAGTTGCAGTCTCCTACTAAAATCCATTTGATATTTGCCTTCTATTTCCAGAAGCTCAGTTCATTATTAGTGGCAATTATAAGCTAGGCTCTGCATTTGTTGTCTTCTTCCCTCTTTGCAGGGCTAGGGTCTTTCTCATATTCATCCTAAGCAAACCTGGCTTTTTCTTCAACTTCTATAAGGTTAGAGAAAATATTTCCAAATGTTTCAATGTTCCACTTCTTTAAGACTTGTTTAAGCCCCTTGAGTTTGAGGCCCAGACCAATCATACCTCCATAATTATGATTTTTGCTCTAGAAATCATGAACCAAGTTATGGAAAGTAGGGTGGTTGGTCCAGGAGTTAATGAATCTGAAAGGTTTTGGCCCTCCTTTGTCTTCTTTAGTGCATTGTAAAAGTAGGGGTTTATGGTCAGAAGTAGCTTTGCTGATGTGCTTTACAGAGATATCATCATAATGAACCAGAATTTTGTTGTTCACCAACACTCTGTCTAGCCTTCTGTAGACCATACCATTCCTCCTTCCCCTAGACCAAGTGAAGGCAGAACCTATAGTTGGCGGGGTAGTGAGAACACATGATTCCATGCACTCTTTGAAATCATCCATATCTGATTGCTTGGGGAGGTTCATGCCTTTATGTTCTGACCATTCTGCTATAATGTTGAAATCCCCTCCAACTACCCACTGACATGCAGGTGATTGGAGAGAATTCAGATCCTGCCATACTTACCTCTTTTCTGAGCCAGAGTGCTTACCATATGCAGTGGTAATTCTGATATTCTCCTTTGTGTCATTAATAGTGAAATCACAATTGAGAAATTGGTCCCCTTGAGAGCTGTTGTTGAAACATAGGGCTTTCTCATGCCAAAACACCCATATTTTATTTGAGGTAGAGCCAAGGAAATTAGAAAAACCCATTTGCATACTGTAGAAGTGAATCTGGTCAGCTGAAACAATGGGTTCAATAACTGCAAGGAAACAGAAGCTATGATTTTTACTCAGCACCTTGATCCTTTTGAGAGAGGACCTAACTCCGCGTACATTCCAAAATAGAAAAATCATTTAAGGCTATGAAATATGAAGTCTTTATGCCCTTTGTGGCTTCTGGTGATCATACTTGTAGAAGGGCCTAACCTCTTGGATGTCTTAATGTAGATTGATCAAGAATATCACTACTTTTTCCATCCTCAGAGTGGTATCCATAATCTCTGGTATCTGGCACCATCTCCTGCATATTGGTATAATGGATTTCTTCGATAAGCATGGCAAGTCCCTTCTCAGGTGAGTGATTATGAAGACAGTCATCAAAGGAACCTTTCCTTGACTGATCTTTTGCCATTCCAGTACTAACTGTAGTTTTGGAAGTAACAGGCATTTTTTTGGTAGCAAAGGCTTTTGCTTCAGAAAGGGATGGAAAAATTGGGTTGAACTCTTGCAGTGGGGAGTCGGAGGGATTAAGATTGTCACCCAATAATTCACTCTCCACATTACATGATAATTCTCCAGCATAATTATCCAGTAGGTCCAGCAACATGAAATTATTGGTGTTTAGGTTCACATAACCTTTCTTTTTCCATTCAAATATGGTGGGGCCCTGTCTGACTATATTATTATTGTGTTCTGATTGATTGGGTGCCCTTTTTCCATTTGTCTTTTTGCTCTTGATTTCCACCCATCCATTCTGATACTCAGGAGATATGCCCGTCTTACCCTTGTCGGAGGGAGCTTTTCCGGTGGGTAAATGGTGTTGGTTTAGAGCATGAAAATCATGCTTGTGACCAAGATTTACCAAGTCTGATGTGAATTTTGGAGGGAGGGGGGATGGATAAATCTATCTCAATACGCACCCTTGCACTTTCCCTCCTATCTCTACTGACTGTGAAATCATCCATTTTTACAGGTCTCCCCAATAATAAACTAATCGTGAAAAGAGATTGGAAGTCTATGAGGTGAAGAGGGAGCTTTTCAAAAGAGACCCAAACANGAGCTTTTCCGGTGGGTAAATGGTGTTGGTTTAGAGCATGAAAATCATGCTTGTGACCAAGATTTACCAAGTCTGATGTGAATTTTGGAGGGAGGGGGGATGGATAAATCTATCTCAATACGCACCCTTGCACTTTCCCTCCTATCTCTACTGACTGTGAAATCATCCATTTTTACAGGTCTCCCCAATAATAAACTAATCGTGAAAAGAGATTGGAAGTCTATGAGGTGAAGAGGGAGCTTTTCAAAAGAGACCCAAACATTGCCTTCTTTTTCTTCTCGTCACTTTCAGCAGCAACCATTGCCTTCTTTTTCTTCTCGTTCCTTTCTCTTTCTCCGTACTTCTCCACCTTTGGGTACGGGCATGCTGACTTCCAGTGGCCAGGCTTCCTGCAGTTATAGCATAAATAAGATTCAGGAGGGGAGTCACTTACTTGTGGCTTTCCCTTGGATGGCCTTCTGACTGAATCAGCCTTCTTGAAGAAGTTCTTGAACTTCCGGAATTGCTTGACCATCATGGCAAATTCCTCATTGTAGTTCTCTATTTTTGAGTTTTACGGCTGGCTGGAGGAAGGTGTGTCACAGTTTCTTGTGCATGTCCCTTCACTTGATGGGATTCTTGGAGTTGTCATCAATGCCGTGGGGAAGGGCGTGACTTATTCTTCCTTCTTCTTCTTTAGCTCGTGCTCATAGGTTCTGAGTTCATCAAGGAGACCTTGAAAAGTGTAGTTCTCCAGGTTTCTTCCTTCTTCCATGGTTGTGGCTTTGGTGTACAACTCAGTTGGGAGTAATCTCAACAACCTTACATTCTTTTCTTTGGGAGAAAGAATGTGGTTAAGTGAAGCAAGATCATTCAATATCTTGTGGAATCTTTCATCCAACATATCAAATGATTCTCCAGGAAGCATTTTGAAGCTTTTGAACTTCTCAAGCAGGACTTCTATCTTCTGCTTTCTCAGGTCTTCTGATCCCTCACATAGCTTCCCAAGACTTTGCCAAATCTCCATGGCAGTCTTGAGGTGCTTAATCTTGGAGAAGGTGATGGGATCAAGTGTCTTGAAGATGAGTGCTTTGGCGACGTTGTCCAGATTGTGCTTTTTCCAATCTCTATCATCCCATTTTTCCTTGGGCTTTGGAATGTACTGGACTACATCTGGAGCAGCTGGATTCCTCTCTGGGTTCTCCATTTGGATTTTCAAGGGTCCATCCTCAAGCACCATCCACATGCAATCATGTAGAGCGTAGAGATGTGCTTCCATCATGATCTTCCAATCATCATAACCTAGAAGAGAAAACTTGGGCAAACCGTGATCCATATTGTTCACCATTATGATCGCTTCTCGTTAATCTAAAAGTAGATAGTGAGAAGTAAGCTCTGATACCAATTGGTGGTCCCAAAGTGGTGAGATACAAAGTCTAGAGGGGGGGGTGAATAGACTTTGTTACAAATTTAAAACTTTTTTTTGTTTCTTTTGAAAACGTGAAAAAGAGGGTTAATCTAGAGTTCTTGTGAACTTTAGATTATGTGCGGAATTTGGTGGGAATCGAAATTGTATTCGTGTTGAAATAATATTGTCCATGAACATTATGAGTTAGCCATAAATATCGTTCTAAGCTGCATGGCCATTGCAAATCAGAAAAATATTTATTTCCAACGTCAAAATGTACCATGTAATATTACTCATTTTCTTCATATTTCAGTCTTACACTGTTGTACGTTTTGTTGTATTGTCATCTTGTTGCGACCTTTCACATCAATAGAGTATAAGAATGAGTCAACGATTGGTCTTGTCAGCAAACGCTTTATTTCATTGGTTCAATCAGACTTCATCGATTAAGGCGCCATTTTAATCAACAAGGTTGAGCTGTCTATAGCTTCTAACAAGCAAGTTCTTTGAATTTGATCGAACAAGTCGTCAGTTCATTGGTAAAGGGTAGAGATTCTTGATCGTCAGTTTGTTCAAGTTTCTTAACAGGGATTTGTACGTATCCTGACCGTAACTCAATCTTAGAGAATACAGTATATCCTCTAAGTTGACCAAATAAGTCATCAATACGAGGTAAAGGATAATGATTTATTTAATGACGATAGTTTATACAGAGTCTCATCGATTCATCTTTATTCAGATATGAACAGAACAGGTACTCAAGAAGGAAATACTTGATCAGATGATTCCTCAAGTTTTAAATTTCAACGGAAATATATTCAATATGGAGTTTACATAGATATAAGACAGCATTCCAAATTCATGCATAACTTTATTGAATAAGGAAATATATTAATGATGACATCGGAGTGTTCCTAAATGCTGTCTTTCACAGCATTCACACATGCATGAGTACGTTTGTGGATTATTTCCTGCTGGTGCATGTCGGGCTAATGTAGACTGACTTTGAACAGGAGCCTTTGGAAATGGTTTTCCAGGGTTCATAGGACATTCCTTTCAGAAATGTCTAAGTTTACCACAACCTAGACACAATCCTTGTGCCATTCTACATTCTCCTGGATGGTGTCTTCTGCACATGTTGCACTTTGGATGTTTCCACACCCTCAATTTGCGTTGAGTTGTCAGAGACTTTCTTCTTTTCGAGTGTGGGGTACTACAGGTGCCAATTAAAGGTTTCTTTCCCTTAAAAATTGGCGAGATACTTGAACTTGCATTGGACTACCCTTCCATATCTCGGTGAACGTTTTCGTTGTCTGGTTCATTTTAGACAACAAGAGTAAAGTTCGATATTTCAATATGAACAATTCCGTGTCCATTGTTTGGCACTTGGTTATCTTGTCGAGGAGCGGTTTCTTGACTCATTCTACAAATAGTAGGAATTTCCTTATTAGGATTCTTTATTCACGAGTTTGATAACAAATATCACGAGAGTGTTCAACAGTTTCAATCATGAGAATTTTTTTGGGAGAAACGATAGGATTTATTAATTCTAAACGTTTTCGTTTGCGTCAATGATCGGTTTGCGTTGAGTCCACATTATGATCTTCGACATCGGGTTCACAGACGTTTATTAATCATTTCTTCATAGTCGTCTCACTTCCATGCCACTTTACGAGTCAGATCAATTTCGTCATTCGCGATGCGTTGCGCATGTTGATAACGTATCAAAGGGTTGTATGTTTTTCATTTATTCTTTCGCCTATTCACCAAGTACGAAATTTCGAATTGACTCAAGCTCGATATAGTTTTTGTACGAACAATTGTTAACTAATGAGAATTTAACATAGTCAATATTTACCAAGTAAATTCTCATGTCTGTCAATATTTCGAATTGATTGACATTTTTTTTCAAATTTTTGATCCAAAGATCAGTTTTAAAACCATTTGCTCTGATACCAAATTGTAACACCCTAATCCGTACAGGTCTGCAGCCTCTTTCAGACTAAAGTATTACCTTGGTAATCGTAAAAATTTAAATATTTCAAACACTTTTATTTATCACAATAATATTATTCATAACATAAACAGTGCAGAGTTTTCAATATTGCGGTAACTTAACAAATCATAATCACAAACATAATTTATTTATGTTCTTTATTTCAAAACCATCACATCCATTCCGACTATCTCGCCTCCGCCTGCCTCTAGGATCACCTGACATCATTTTATTAACCTATGTGTAGTAAATAAAACATACCACACGTTGAGCGTTGAAGCTGAATAAGCATATCTAATGCGTCGAACATCCATATAAATTGAATCTAAATTCATAATCAAATCATTTGATATCATGCACATAATGTTTAGCTCAGATATGCAATAATCAATATTCAGTTTTGATAATTCATCATTCAACATTAATATTCATATTAAACATTCATCATTAATATTCATCATTCATTTATAACATTCCTCAGTCGTTCATAATATTCACAATATTTAATTCAAGTCATTTATCATTCATGATATTCACAATATTCATCATTTGTCATTCAACAATATCCTTAAACTATTCTTAGTTTAAGGCCAATCTCTTTAATGTTTATCAACCCTTAAACGAATTCTAGTTTAAGATATTTCTAACCAATTCTTAAACTATATTCTAGTCTAAGGTACTTTTATCCAATCCTCAAGCTAGGCCTAGTTTAAATAAACTTACCTTCGCTTAAGGTCAACCAGAAACCGAACAACGGAATGCTCACTATCGGGTTGGGTGGTATCCCCAAACGAGTGCCTCTAGTTTGGTTTGTAGATCCCTGGTTTGTAGATCCCGTACGTACGTTTTAACTCAGGCCACCGAATATTTATAATTATACCCGCAAGGCCTATTTATAAGCCATCTTAGAGGTATTCTAGATAGTCTTATAAACCAAATCAATATATCTTAGAGTTCTTCTAGATGTCTTTAATAGTCATTATCAATTCCAAATGGATATATCCTAGAGTTCTTCTAGATATCCTTAACAATACAAATCATTTCATAATCATCAATATATTCATTTTTTATCATGATTCAATCATTCATAATAATCATTTTAATCAATAGGTTCGTCAATCATAATCATCAATCAACATAACATTCAAAGCAATAGCAATTAGCGGTCTAGCTTCAAGTGTTAACACCCTAGCTTACCGTCATGCATCACGTAATATCTTTTTAATTGTCGAAAAATCAATTTTATTCCAAGAAATCATCTTTATATTAATCATAATTGATTGGCATCAAAAATAAGATTTTAGAGCTCAAGAATAGCATTTTCGGACAAATTTTCGTATCAGATTTTTGGGGGATTGATCCATCCCTCTGCATCGATCCAGACTATGAAAAATACTCCTAGTGGATCTATCCAAGCCCCTGTATCGATCCAGACAGTGGCTTTTCAGTCACTGTTCATCTTCTTCTTCTTCTAATTTTGAAAATACCATTTTTAGTCACCGAACTTCAATCAAATTATATAGAAATGTTCTCCATAGTTCATCGATAATTTGGGTATCATTAGTTCATAGTTTTAACAACAATTTCAAGATTTATGATTCTTGGTTCTTCAAATATGTCAAACACAAAACTCAACCAAACGACCGTTTATGAACGTAGAAACGATATATACGAACATTCTAGTCACTAGATATATCTACGGGCTTACCTCGAAGCTAAACGATGATTCTGGCGAAACTTCCGGCAACCACCATAGTTTGCTCCGGCGACCTCGACGGCAACTAATACTACAAAACTACTCCCTTCACTGTCTAGATTCTTATGGGACGAATTTCAGTAATTTTTGTGAAGAATTGAGAAGGAATGGTTTCACTTATATAGGAGAAGAAGGAAGGAAAAGCCAAGCTGATGTGTCACCTTCTCCTGTTCAAACGGCTGAGTGGAGAAGGGGGCTGATTTCTACGGGTTTTAAACACTAGTCCCTGATTGGGACTAATTTTTGGTCCTAGTCGGGGTACACTTCTTGGTCCATGTTTCTCCGAATTGAAATTCATTTGCACCGTTGCGATCGTGCAGTTAAACTCTATCCAACAATATAATTTTTACATTTATTTGTAGCACTTTTTCTGACATCATATTTTTGGATAGTTGATTTTGATAGAGTCAAAATTGGTTTTATTGACCTTTACTTCAAAAAGGTTCTTTCATTTAATTCATTTTATTTATTGTCATGATTTATCTCAATAAATCATTTCAAGTTTTTCATCACAATTAAAATCTTCATGTATTCTTGATTTGGGTCTATACTCAGGTTTCCAAACAAGATCACACAATAAGTCAATCATGTAAGATTTATCTCTATGAGATTTATCCCAATTATGTTTATTGGATAACAATACATATTTTATTTCGGCTCAAAGCCCAATAATAATTTATTTTAATCAAAACAAATTTGATTAATATGAATAATTATCCATTAATAATTCTAGGGTATGTTTTGGGACGTTACACTCTCCTTGCTCAAAGGGAAACAGCATGCTGAAACAGGAGCAGCAGATCTGCAGGGGGATCCAAACTTAGGCACTGGGGAATCTACAAGTCAGGGGGAGCATGACAATGAACTTGTGGGGTTACTTCAACACAAACATTATCTTAAACATTTTTTTTGCTGCTTATAATTTTTGTCCTATCCATACTATGTTGGATTCTCTCTATCTTTTTGTTGAACTACTGCTGCAGAAGTTTTTATGGTGAGGGACCATTGTTATGTCCCTGGATATTCTGTGAATTTTGCTTATGGATGATGGTTGCCCTGCTTAATTTGATCTTGCAAATTCATCCTTAGATTTTATTACTCATTACTGGTCTCCTCACTTCCACAAGCTCTTGTTCACAATTAGGACCTAGTTATTGTGTCTATTGTTAAATTTGCTATACACACTCTTGTTAATCAGTTTTTGAATATTACTCTTCTCCCAATTAATAAATCTTGCCTAGTGCCTTTGGCATTTTTTCCAAAAGGGGGAGAAGAGGTTTAGAAACGGCTGAGTGAGTGTGCTTGTGTTTGTCAAAAAATTGCCAAAGGGGGAGATTGTTAGTTCTCTCACAGTTTACTCCCTGATTTGGTTGGCATCATTTTTTTACAAACACAACCACATTAGGTAAAGAAAAATGTTCTAATAGATGTCG